AATTCAAAAACAAACAAACAATTTGAATATCATTGATTCACCTTCGTGACACAATAACCTACGCAGTGTAACCACTTTGACCTTTGGTATTTGATGTTGTTCTAGATATAGTTATAGGACTGGGAGGTAATACTCGACCGTTCAAATTCGCTTTGAACTTCCTTACGCTGGAAAGGGTTAAGCTCTGTATGACCACCACTCCCGTGTATAAGTACTGACAGTCCCTTGGAAGAGGATTGACCATCATGGTCCTCAACATTGTGATAACCACTGCCCTGTCCGCTGTGGTGATGTTAGTAACTGTTAAATGGAAGCATGGACAGGAGGGAAGAAGTATCCTTTGTAGCAGGACTAGAATACCTGCCATTATTGTTTACTTTACTCACCAGATCTATTGGGACACAAAGTTTGGGACGATGATTTTTCGATAGATTCTGATGGAGAAAATCCCTCGAGTGTAAATATATCCGACGTCTTCAGATCGTCCATTCTTTTGTTTTCATCAAAGTGGATTTGGATTCAAGTCGATGTATGTGATAATTTATTTAAATTTTATTTTTGAAAATGAAACTCGACTTTTTTTTTCCCATCTTTATAAGTTTCCATGAGCCTCGTTAGTAAATCACTGGCGTCAGTGTAGTTCTCCACCGCTAGTCGTTTTGACGATCTTCCATGATCAACTGTACTCTCGAGAAGGGGCTCTTCTTTCATCAAAGGATCGTCCTTATATTAAAGAAGGAGTGGACAAAATACAGATCAATGTCTTCTCGCTTGGATTTGCCAAAAGGACTGGAAATAACATCTTTGTTGAGGTTTATTTTGGAAACGTCACTTGTAGTAACCCTTCCCACAGAAGCAGCAAATTTGTTCGTGGAACCGGTTAAAACTTGATTCAGACCAAATCCATTTTATTTTTCTATAGAACCATGTTGGGATTTCATCCCGCCTTTAATCCAAATGTACACTGATGCATAAGAATTACTAAACTTTTAGAACCTACAAGTAATAAACTTTTATTTCAAAACCAAATATGAAACAATACGGCGCATATATTTCAGAATTATTTTCATGGACAAAAAAGTACACTTTTAATCATTATACTCACAACTAATAAGGCACATTTATTTCAGAGTTAATTTCATGGACACAAACGTACACTTTAAATCATTGTCCTCACGACTAAAACGTAAAACAATACTGTGCATTTATTTCACAGATTTATTTTCATTGACCCAAAGGTGCAAATTTAATCCAAATATATAACTTTACAGTTGAAATCTTAAGTTGCATGACCTTTCAAAGATTTCAGAACAACTTGTTAATATATTTTCCGTTCCACAAAAACATTTATTGTTCTTAAGATTATTAACTTTGATAAACAAAATTGTAATAATATTATATAACTAAAGGAGACAATAAGAAACGAAGTAATTATATTGCAAGAATAAATATAAGAAAGTGTTATGATAGCGGAAGTCGCATGCGCGCTGGAGTTTCTAGAATTATCGTGGAACTCCGCGAATGTCCCAGTGTTTGCTAGACGCCCTCTTTTTTAGTATTTAAGCCTGGCGAGAAAAACCAGCGCGATAGGCAGATAGATTGAAGATAGAGATAATTGAGTCAAGCGAACAGTTAGGCAATGTAA